TTTTGGTTCACCACCATTCAAGGCAGGCACGGTTTGGTCATTGACTCAATTTCTAAGCTATCATCTGCCAAATGCATACATTAGACCCATCTGCAGAAATGCAGTCTCCCTAGCGATGGAGAGGTGCTTGGAGCATCACGGTGGGAGAGATGGCTTAGGAAGCAGAGAGAGCAAAGTCTGAAAGGAAATGGGCTTCAAGCTTGTTTCTGCTGCTGTGTAATAATAGTATACACTGCTATTACTGAATAAGGCTGTTAAATGTTAAAATAATTGTTACAGTGCAAGGTTTAAAACCCTGTCTTTGAGGAAGAAGGGTCGTAGCACAGCTATTCTTGGGACGCAGAAAAGCCACTGCTCATGGGAGGAGGTACTATATTACTAGAGCAACTGGTATAGTTGGAAAGAATAAGTCCATTTTCATTATACATTATAACTTCTCAGGTGGAATAGTGTCCTTAAATCATGTCCTTTCTCATTCTTTTCTTCTTCTCTTTTTTTTTTCTCCAATTTTTAGGCTGTCATTTTAATGTACTTTTCCCTCCTCTCCCTTAAAACGTGGTTCCTGGCCTGAAGTCTCAAAAATATTGTCTTACAGTCATCTAGCACCAATCCTATCTGAGTTCAAGGGGCATGTAGACAATGCTCTCAGGCACATGACGTGATTTTGAGGTGTCCTGTGCAGTGCCAGGAACTCAATGATCCTAGTGGGTCCCTTCCAACTCAGAATATTCTATGATTCTATAAATAAACTACCAGATTTAGAGTTATATTACTGTAACCCATGACTTTTAGAACAGCGATAAGACTTGGATGATTACCTGCAGAGATCCCTTTGAACCTCATCTATTTTATGATTCTATGGTTGTAACTTACAGTCTTAAAAATTCACAAATCAAGACATTGTGTCTGCTGAGAAAAGAGAGAATGCTAGCAAATCTAAGGAATTCACTTTTTGCCATTTCTGTTTAGGGCTCTCAACACTACTGTTGAGGGAATTCCCTGCAACTGGAAGGAGTAGAAGCCTGGCAATCAGAAAGAAGTCAGTTAATCATCTTGGTTTGATACTCAGTCCTTAAGGTTTTCCAATTTTTCTCTCCCTTCAAAACTGAAGCATGTCAGAGAAGTATGTTTTTGTAGCGGTGGTTGACAGAAAGGATGCCTCACCTAAATTAAACCAAGAAATCATGCACTTGCTTTCAGTGCAAACAAATTCATCCCTTTATTGATGGAAACTTATTTGGAGATCACTAAATAAGTAATGACCAGAATCTGAGTATTTTGGACCATGGCCATCTCGTTCCCTGCTGCTGGTACAGTCCTTTGAGCAGATTGCTGAATGACTGCTGTTCACAGCAAACACTGAAAAACAACTTCTCAGCTTTGCTTTTTGTATGCTCAGGAAGCTCAAAAATTCCAGCACAGGTCAAGCAATAACAATTGGTTATATACTGGGGGGGGGGGTATGTTTATGAGGGGAAAAAGCAGTGCCTCTTCTCTTTTTCTTCTGGATTAAACTTAAAAACCAGTGTTTTTCCATTGTTGTTTGTCTTTCTCTTAGAGGAGTCATTAAAACTGATTGCTCTGGCTGATTTACAAGAACTCAGGTTAAAAAAATAAAGAATCAAAATGCTTACTGAGAGGATAATGCAATTTGCTTTGCTAGTTATATCATTGCAGGTGGGCACAGCTCTAAGTCTGAGCATTCCCATAGAAAATATCCTCAAAGCATCATGTTAATAGACAATAGAAAACAGTCAGAACTGTTTTTGCAGCAAGGATAATTCCTGGAGGCAGAATATTTCCTAGAGAAATAAACTAAATTAACTTTTTAAATGAACACTGTGAGACTTATGCAGATATTACAGACTAACTAACCCCTTCACCTCCAGTTAAAAATAGTTTGCTGCTTATAGGAAGAACAAACTAGATTAATCCTCTATACCATCAGGTAATTTTATTACTCAAAAATCATCAAATATAACACAAAAGAAGCCATATCATCCAAGATGAGAACTCCTATCCCATTCCTCAACCTAATACAAGTGTGCATGATTTCATTCCTTTTAAAACTGACAACACTTCATGGTAAATCAGAATCATGCACATCTCTACAACAAATACTCTAAAAACATCCTTATTACTTTAAAGCCAATGATCTAGCAATCAGCACACCTCCACTGCAAGTGCCTGATGGGAAGGTGGCAGAGAATACTTGACCTGCTTGACTAGAGCTGTGTAGTGTGTGAAAAAGTTTTTGATTAGAGCTGTATTTTCAGCACTTGGTACCCCCTTCAAATATTCCTTCTCATAGTGTTCAAAGACAGCAATCCCATCTTGCCCTTTGGGATTAGGTAAGCCCGTGGCAATGAAGAGGCTGATCATACATAGGCCTCCTTTCCTTAAAACCTTGTACCAACCACTTTCTCAAGATGTGTTATGTAGGAAGTATTTCTGTGTATAATTTGATATCTTGGGTTCAGATTCCCTGGAGTTCAGACCTGGTTAGTGCTGTACAAGTTTTCTTTAGCACAGGACTGCACTGGCTGACAGGATGTACTCACATCACTTACTCTAAGTACTTTTGGAGCCCTCTGTTACTGCCATGATATGGGAGCAAGAGTTGCATAAGTGAACCAGTCTGTCTCAAAGTGCAGTATGGAAAGTCACCCTGCTGTGGGTGCTTGGTAGTCTTTCCTCTTTCTTTAGTTTATTATTGCTAAATCCTAGAAAGGGGTAAGAAAGACTCAAATGGATCACCTGGTGCATCCACCAGCCCCAAATCAACTAAAGCATTTCTGACAGATGGTTCTGTATCCATTCTAAAAACCTCCAGTGAGTAAGCTTTCCCAGGCTCTATATACAATCTATTCTGGTCCTTAATTAACTTTGTCAGTGGACAATTCTTTCTACAAAGCTCCTCCTAAATCTGCTTTTATTCCAGTTTAAACATATTACTTTTTGTCTCACAACTTGAACAGAACAGGTTATTCCTTTTCCTCCTTGCAGAAAATTTTAAAATATTTTAAAAGCCTGCTGCATGCCTCAGCTGTCTTGTTTTTGGTCTAAAATCCAGTTCCTTCAATTTTTCCTCACAGGCCAGTAGAATATCAGACAAAGTGAATAAGAGGACAAGACAGAAAGCCTGAGGTTGCCTTCTCTACCACTACTTCGAATTTCAATCTGAAGAAGTTAAAGCAGAGTTAAAGAAGAGTCAAGACACTTTCCATAGAGAAATTGAATTATACTCACAGGTGAAAGCCTCTTATACTTTTGCACTTCCAGGAGTCTTATCGAACAAACAAGCCATCAATGTGGAAAAGACAGAGTTCAGAAAGGCTACAGGCAGCTGCAAGTACCTCTGAAACAAACTATGAAATCGCAGAAGGAGAAGTTTTTTCTCACCTCTTCTAATCAACCCAAAGATTCACATTTACATAGTAGCAAACCTTTCTATTTGGAGGGTTTCTTTTTACAACATGGCAAATATTTCCCAAGTCACCAGGTTGCTGGGCTGACAATCTCAGCAATCAGTGGGTCCAGCTGAGGTCTTTTCTTTCTCAGTGCCTAGGGGAGTGTTAACACTTTCTCTGCCATTTGCTGAGAGGTACTTTGTACCAGTGCACCTGGTGCTATTGAAGTCATCCCTGTATTCCTGATTGCTTTAAAATTTACCCTGGGCATTCCTGATTGAGAAAGCAGAATATATGTATTAGAATATTTACTGACAAATGCAGTACTTTCTTCAGGATCTGTGTCTCAGAAAGGGGAGTGAAAATAGAAGCTGAGCCATATCTCTGACATTGAAGTTATGGAGAGGCAGTGCATTTAGCAATACAGGGCATCATAAAGAATATGGGCTGCATTCTCACTCACAGAGAGCTGCAGAATATGTAAGGTCGATTACAAATGGGGAATGCAATTGCTCCCTAAGTTAAGAAAGCAATCTCAAAATTAAATCTGCAGTTGGACATAGCTGGGAAGCCTCTTAGGCTCCTTTGCTAAGGGTCCTAAGGAAGGAGACTGTTACCATGACGTGTTCAAAACAGTCCAGAGGAAAAAAGCAGAGCTTCACAGCATCTGATAGAGACCAGAAATGTTTGATTGCATTTTCAGATAAAGCATGTTAGAAAATCCATAGCTATTTAGTTAAGTACAGAATTAGGAAAAAAAAAACACAAATGCACCCTATTTTTCTCTCTATAATTTGACAATAATTTCTCTAACTTTTCTAAAAATTTACAAGGTAAAGAAGATGATTTTTAATGGATGTAAAACAGTGAATACATAGGAGAGCAGCTAAGCCTCATAAGAACCCTTCTGATAATTGGGCTTGCTTTAATTACATAGATGAGAAGTCAGCAAATAGTATTTCATATGCAGTCTTTGAGAATAAAAATATAGTGCACAATTCTAAATAATAGAATTCTACTATCATAGGAAACATATTAATCCTCCCAGCCCCAATCTGCTTACTCTGATTTTTAAATGTATGACTGAAAAACTACTGGTGTTACTGACTGATGATAGTCAGAAAAACTAGTAAAGAGTAAGAAAACCCCTTTTAAGCCACAGGCCTCCAAATGATGTGTTGGATCTCTGTTGCAGTTATCCAGCTGGGGGTACAATGGATCTCTTCTCCAGTGAGGGGAGAGGACTCTGAAGTAGAGAGCAAATAAAAAATTCACCCAAGATCACGCAGAGGCAGGGACAGAGCCATGATGCCTGAGTTTCAAGCCTGTGCTCCTTTGACTACCACTATCAGTAACATTAACATCAATGCAGTCTGCTACTGTGCCAGTAATACCCACTCTAATATCAGTGCAGACAGTTCACGTGATCTAAAGAGAGCAAGAAGATTAATGTATGTCACAGTTTACAACAGTGTAAACAAAGTAGCTGTAAAATAAACACAAAGCAACACCTTACATTCCACATTGGTCTTAAGTGTCTTCCTTTATAATCAGTGCTTAATTCAGTGTTACTGAGTTTAAGGTAATTACCTTTAAGGCACAGATGTCTGTCAGAGTGAGTCCTTGTTCAACCCTTGATGGATGACATTGACAGACAGTTGGCATTTCAGGACAGTCCATGAACCATTTTCACACTGCACAAGTGGAGGGAAAAAAAAAAAAAGGAGAAAAAAAGGAAAGTAATTATGATTGCCAAAGACACAAAGCTCCTTTTGCTTTCATCCATATTCCATGAGCATTCCCCGTTCGCCCCTCACCTTCCACATTATTAACCATGTATTTAACCACAAAATAAAAGCTAGTACAGAAGCCACTCACCTAAGGCAGACAGGAAATGTCAGGTTGAAATTACAGGTTGCAGTGTGAAAATATGAAAGAACTCATGGCCTTTACAATTTTTTGGTCTGATTTGCGAATGAAGTGTGGATACCTATGGGAAACATTCATTCTCCAAATGGCTTTGGGTAGCATAACTCTAAATAAATACATAAGCAAGCCCTTTTTCTCTTAAAAATTTGGTAGTTGCATTCACATTATAATTGCTAAGTGATATTTGTGTTCAAAACAAACACATTAATCATAAGAGACATGACCTTTAGAAAGATAACATTCTTGCTCTTTTTATTTTGTTTGGTTTTACCCTGGGACAAGATACTGCATAAGTTAAGGTAGGTCACACTTAATACAAATGGAAGAGAGGAGAGAGTCATTCAGATCATGCCAGCTGAAATTTTAGTTAAGAAAAATCTAGCTGTAGGAAATTTTTTTCTACAAGGTTCAGCAGAGCACTGGTGATCTCTAGCCCAACTAAATCTTAGTCTAGCTCCTGCTGTAAGAGACAACCTAGAACGTTTCTATAAATATGTTAGCAACAAAATGAGTGCTAAGGAGAATCTTCATCCTATACTGGATGCAGGAGGTACTTAATGCATTCTTTGCCTCAGTCTTTAATAGCAAGATAAGTTGTCCAGGTACCCAGCTCCCTAAGCTGGAAAACAGGGATAGGGAGCAGAATGAAGTCCCCATAAATACAAGGGGAAAAGGTCAACGACCTGCTACAAGTGGCAGGATGAGATGAACTGGCCTCAAGTTGCACCAGGGTAAGGTTTGGTTGGATATTAGGAAGAATATCTTCACCAAAAGGGTTATCAAGAATTGGAATTGGCTGTCCAGGGAAGTAGTTGGTAGGTTTTAAAAAGATATGTAGATGTGGTACTTAGGGACACAGTTTAGTGGTGGTTTTGATAGTGCCAGCTTAATGGCTGGACTTGATGATCTTAGAGGTCTTTTCCAACCTAAATAATTTTATGATTCTAATTGTTAGATAACACTTTCATACACTAATTTTACATCTAACCAATATCAATTTTCAAAAAAGTAAAACTGATGTCAGAAGGAAGGCAGAACCTGCAACTAAGGTCAGAGTATCTGAGACAGGAAAAAAAAATGTATACAAATCAAAAACAATAACTTTCAGTACAGGTTCTTCTTTTTTCTTGTTGTTTGAAGTTTTTTACCTGGGCCAAAAAGACACAACCAAAGTTGTGAAGACCTCATTGTTCCAACATATCTACAGAAATATATCTGCTTCACTCTCTTCAAGTATTTATATTGTAAAGGTCGTTTCAATGAAATCCATAACGAAAATGGCTGAAGAAAGTATGCACTCTTTTACACTTGGGCACATGCATGAACACATTCATAATTCATTAAAACTTGCAAGAAAACAGATTAGAAAGGAATAAAAAAATCAAAATTTATCCTTATCAATCATCCAAGCTTTTAGAGTGAAGGGGTTTGGATCAGTACCCTGCATTTGCAAATCCCATCCACTGTAATACAATTACGTGATCTGTCGGAAATGAAATTGCATGTCATGAAATAGAGCACAACTCCATAAATAATTAGTGTTTTCATTTCCAAAGCAAATTGATAAGACTAGTATTTGGCTCAGTTCTTTCAGTTCAAGGAGCTCTGCTAGACTTGTGTTGTAAATTCAGTCTTCCACAGCTGGACTGATAAAAGCTGAGATTTTCAAACTGAACCACTTGGACAGCATGAAGGGCAGGTTTAATTTAGAGCAGTTACAGGAGGTTCAGAGTCAGCACAAATACCTTTTAGAATACGACAAATAGTATGAGGCTACATTTTTTTCCAGGATCTATTCAAACTAACAATTCTTCTGTTTAATTCACTGAGAGGAAAGACAGCTTCTGGTTGTGTGGAATATTGAATGGAACTTTCTGACCGTGTATTTTAGCAGTCCTGAATCAGGTGTCATTTGCAACAAAGGCATTCCATATTCTTGTGATGCCAGTATATCCTTCCAGAGAAACCCCAGTGGAGGACAGACCTCAGTGATCAGTTGATCCTGAAAGCAGATCTTGTCCTTGTGTTTGAAAACTGTAATTCTGTGACAGATATCGGTGCATCTCAGTCCCACATCAACCTAGCTTAAGGTCAGATATTTCTGAAAAGTGTGAATTCACCTCATAGGAATTAAAAATAGAATCAAAGCATGGGCAGGGACACTTCCACTGCCATGAATAGACCAGGAATCTGAACTGACTCTTCTGATCCTTAAATCTTGAAATTCTGGCTAGACTGATGATTATGTCAGCTGAGCAAGGCTGGTTGCTTGTTAGAAACACGACAGTTTGAAACCAAGGCAATTGTCAATTTTGGCCTAACCTTTGATTCTGGAGAATGACATATAAATTAGGAAAAGAACTGTTCAAAAATCAAAACCATCCTGCAGGGAGTATCATATTCGCTCAGATGGAAAAAATTACTCTTGGCTTATTTCAGTCTATGTTTGCTAGGAAAGTAATTTAAAAATCACCCAGATTAAACCTTCAACAATTTGAGCTGTCTACACTTCTGTTAGTATCCTGAATTGTTTGGAGGCACAGACTAATGAGAATGATACGATAGCTACGATTTGATTTTGATATTGTACACTGGCAAAGTTTGTAGGTCCTTCCAAAGAATCTTGAGGACAACTGTAAGGACAACCATAATATAGTGTGGAGAATTTGGACACCAAGAGGCTTGTTGTTTTGACAATCACACATCTGGGCTGGAATAAGAGACCAGCGGATAGATAAGAGTCCTCAACTACAAAAAAACCTGTGATTCTGAGGCAACAAAGTACAGTCTGGAGTTTCTTGTTATGATGCTAAACATTGTCTGGTGGCATAATAAAAAGTGAAAAAAAAAGACCTTTCAAAAGTCCACAAAAAATCCAAACAGATGGTCATTTATAGCTGTCCAGATAGGGATTTTCATACGCTAGCAGGTCAGGCAGATTCATCCAGTATCCAAAAAATGCCCCATAGTCTCACAGAAGAAAGAAAAAGCATAAAGGGAATGTATGGTACAGACTAGAGACAAGAGGAATTTTATTCTGCTCCTGATATTTTGTATAGTGTCACTATTAGTGGAGGCTGAGAGGGAACAGTAGGGTACAATTCACACTGTACATATGGGAGGGAGTATCTTCAGATGTTTCAGGCTCTGCAGCTGTTAGCATAGCAACTTATTGGCTAATGTCTCTATTTTACAAGTCAGTCAGGCCCCAAGGCAGAGCTGCATCCTAACTCCTTGGCCAAAAATATTCTAGCTCTTCATGGTTTAAATTCATGATGGAAGTTTCTGAGAGACTCTTTTTGGAGTAACTTTTATTAACACTTAGCTTACACCATTTGCTTTATTTTGGAACTAACTAGATGTAATGTTTAAAAGTAATGTTCAAACACACCAACAAAACTTAGGCAAAAAAGTCTTCATGAGCTAATTCACAAAGACACTCTAGCTTGATCAGGTATATTTATGCAACTCCACAAAAGAGATTTACTCATGTTCCTCATAAACTTCTGTAATAATTTTTTAAACATCTATTTTTCATTTACTAACTCCTAAATTACCATTTCCAAATGGTCTCCGAATAGGAATTGTTATCTAAATGTTAATTACAATTTTATTTCTTTCCTGATTCACTCCACATCACCATGACGTGTTTCTCAAAATTAATCTGAGTGAAATATATTGCAAACACCTGCTAAAGTAACTCAAGCTGTACCTCACCTTCTACTCCTGAAAGTTTTGCAGCAGAGTGCCACATTGTCTCTGGACAGCATAGTAGAACTTTGTGTCATGACTGCCCTTATAGGAAAAGCTACACGATTTAATGCCCCCTTTAGTTGCTAGTTTTTCTCCTAGTCCAATTTTTAAGATGAACGTTGCAGAGCACTCTAGGATCTACTTCTCCCAAGGGCTTCTTGGTTTTCTCAGTGTCCAGCTACCATGCCAGGAGAATGATGATACAGTTTAGAAGGAGTCAGGAAGAGAACTATCTTCAAAAATTATTCCTGATGCAGAGGAGCTCTATTTGGGTATAACAGAGGCTGCAGAATATCTTCGGTCCAGCACATAATGCCAGCTGATTTTCATCAGTTACTTACTAACATTCCCCTCAGCATGTCATTGCAGCCAGCCTGAAACAAAGTTATGAGAGTCCGGATTTACAAAGAATTGCTTTTAAACAGTTCCCGAGAAGTCTCTGGCGTGACTGGCTGTACTATCATATGCCTACTGTGCACAAAGTGGGGGAGGTGATATTTCACATTTCTTGTATTTGTGCATAAGGCTTTATAAACAAGTATAAACAAGTACAGTCCCAATCTTCCAGTGCAAAAAGTGTTCATAAAGGTACTTCAGTGTAACAATACCATCTTATGTCAGCTGAGATTTGTTCCACTGTAAACACTCACATAGCTCAAATTCAAACCAATTTGCAAATTCAGATAACCTGTAATTTCAGGAAAGCAAATTCCAGTTTTATCACCTAGTTCTCTGGGTTTTATTTCTTAAAATATACACAAAGGCAACCTTCAGATTAGCACTTAACAAAACACTCAAGTATGCTAATTGTAATTAGGACCCCTAAGCTTTTAGATTCTGTACGATTTAAGTGCTCTGTGGAACACATTTGAAAGGAAGTGAGAACTGGTCTGATACATATATCAGGTTAAAGACCACATTTTTTTGTTGGCCTAAAATAGGATACCCCTTTTTTGTACCTCTGAATTACTTGGTCAGTATATACATTTATGACATAGTAGTGAAAGAGGAT